CGAATTATGGCTCTCACTAAATGGAATGAATGAATGAATGAATAAATAAATGTGGGGCAACAGCAGACATTAGAAAGCAACCCAGCTTGGCAGTTTCCAGATGCTGAACTTAATAAATCTGTAGGATCCTCTGCACCGCTGATCCATCTATCTTCAGTATTCACACTAGGGTTGTGAACAGCTGCAATTTAGGAAAAGAAGGCTTGTGCTGGCCCTGCCATGTGTGTTCTAGAGCATGCTGAAAAGAACCTCAGTTCCTGCAGTCTTTCTACAAATGTACACATGCAAATACATGTGCATTCAGGAACCATGCCTAACACACTTTCTCCTTCGACCCCCTTCACGTGTGCAAGATGCAGAACTCCCAAACACCAGAATAGGACTGAAGTCACTATGACAAATTTGCAGACAAGAGTTTATCAAAACTCTTTTTTAATCTGCTAATTGTATACATGTTGTGCACATACAGTATATGCATTTGGACAGGTTTAGTGTGAAGGAGGTATTGGATTATATATTAATAGTTGTAGATTTTTATTGTATTTTAGTCATAGTAAGATTAACACCAGTGCCATGAATTCTGCTCAGATATGCTCTCTTCCATATAATTATTTTAAGGCAGTACAGAGTCATGTAACTTGTATGAAAACTAGATGAATTCTTCACCTTTCTTTTCATATTATTTTTAACAGAAAGCCCAGCGACTCCTACAGCTAAGAAAAATAACTTGCAACCAGAATCTTTGCATTGCCTCTGGAACCAAAGGAGAAATCACTACTGCTCCAAGACTTGTCAGGAGCCAACTATACTAAACTAAACTAAACTAAACTAAACAACCATATTTTAAGTTCATGTGTAGAATGAACCTGATCCATACGGCATTTTCACTGTGTTACATAAATCCAGGAAATTATGTGAATTGAGTAATCATGATTCAGTTAACCATGAGGAAGGGTGACATCAGTGTCTGTGTGATCAAAGCCATCATAATATTACAAACTAATGCAAGAAAAAGTTCATGCTACCAAAGCAATAATGTGAATAATAAAACTAGTACAAATTGCTTGACCTTGTTGTTTAACAGATTGGAGCCTTAACACCTGCTTTTAAAGGGTACAGTGGCTCCAGTTTTTACCCTCTGTCCTTGTTGCTACAGTTGTGCTGAGCTGCAAACACACACACACACACACACAGTAAGTACAAACTTTTTGTTGGCGTATCCACCGTGTAACGGTCTCTCTCCTGAAATGATAACATTTATCTGTAGGAAGAAGACTGTATCTGAATGGCACAGAGTGCAGAAGGTCTTGGGTTTAATTCCTATATCTTGAAGGTACATCGATTTGACTACTTAAATAAATTATTTCAGTCAGATATTGGCAATAGAATCTAGGGTTTAACTAGTTTGACTTAGTAAGACAAGAGATTCATGTTCCCATGAAATCCATGGGGAACTTTGACATCCACGCCAAGACCCAGCTCTAGATTACAATGCCTCCTTGTAAAGCTTGATGCAGATGAGACCCAGCATCACCTCTCCATCCATCTCAGCTGAACCAAATGAGATTAGGCAGGTAACTGGGCTTGGCTGGAGTGAGTGATACAGCTGACGAAGACCAGCGTAGTGAGACTGAATCTTGAAAAGACAAAGAAACTGACCGTGAGTCGTTTCTGTATCCAGAAAGTGGGAAGATGGTTTGTTTTGGATGGGGTTTCATTATCTGGAAGAAGCAAAGATGTAGCTCAAGGGAAGGGGACTCGCATATTTAGCTTTTTCACTGGAGGCACAGGTAGCCACAGTGACCAAGAGTGCCTACTTGTATCTCCAGCTGGCTCTTCTGTTAGATTATCCTGGACTAACTTATCTTGGTGATTTCCTGTCTGAATTGCTATAATGCTGTGGAGTCCTTGGGGTTCTCTGAGCTTGGTTCTTTTCCTGCAAACGTTTCATTACCCGGCTAGGTAACATCTTCAGTGCTAGAATAGGATGGGGTTTGCTCTCTATTTATATGCTGTGGCCTGCCTTGCCAGTGCTGGTGGGGGGTTTGTTTTGCTCCTCTGGTAATTCCTTGATTAGCTGCTTGATTGTGTGCTGGTGGTAACCTTTGCTCATCTGGGTGATGATTGCTGGTGAGGAGATCTTCTGGTCTTTT